AGTCACGGCAAACTGTCAGCACAACATTACTCCAAAAACTACCTTTCAATTTTAATCTTACCACACACGTGACATTGAGAGAAATGGCCACTGTTCAGTGCATTTACTATCCTTATCCAGGGTATATACAGGAATCATGGAGCTAAATTTAATACCTTTTAAGAACTTTTTTAAGACTCTTTCCATACATTAAGACCTCATCGCCACTCCAAGTTTTAACCGTTTACATCGCCGACAATTTAACTTACATTTACTATATATTGATTGTAAGATAGCGCAACTAAACAGACTTACTTTGTGATAACTCCTTATCAATACAACATAATGCAGAAGTGTGGAACGAAGCACAAGAGAATTAAGACTAACCCAATGCAACCCTAGAAACAAGAATTAGACCAATAAACAAAACAACTGACAAAACTTATTGAGGAGGGAAAATAAAGCTCTCCAAGCTAACGGGGCAATGAGATCACATGATCACAACTATTACATCATTTTAATTGTGCATCCCAAGCCCATGCCAGTAAAAAAAAAACAGCCCAAAGTAGCGCAATTACCATGCCCTAAATATAAAAATGTCATTTCCATCCCTAAAATACTTTTTTTACGGTCACTGTTATGCACATTGATCATAAACACAGCTCAAATGCTTCCTACTAGTGTGGCCCAAAACATTTAGCACAGTTTTATTACAGGTGGAATGCAAAATGTTACAAGCATTTCAACCAAATGTAATTTATGCAATATTTTAAACCGTTAACCCACTGGGGAAAATCAACCCATGGCAACAGTTTAAAAGCAGCCCAAAGTAAGGAGAGATAACTGACAAGATGTTGGAGGATTTGCTCCTCAACAGATCCCGAGCTCATTGACAAATATCTTTTATCGTAGGATGTGCTCCCTTTACACAGTGCACGCGTGAACGCGAAATCGAAAGGCGACTGCGAGCGCTCATTCAAAAGGGATTTAAATAACCCACATATTGATAGCGGCACCCTGATGCGCAAAAATAATATACAATATTAGAATGTTTGCGGGAGCGGACACAAAAATTGCAGGAGCGGATGGGAGCGGGCAATAATGGTCAGAAATTCAGCGTGAGCGGGATCAACAAGCCCCGCGCTATCACGCAGCGGCGCACTCAGTCAGTAAGAGCCGTAACAGATGACGTCAAATCTTGCGGGATTCCAAACAACACAGAACCCCACTATTCGTACAAATATACATAATGAAAAGATGATACAAAATTTAATACCTTGGAAAATGGCATTTAAGACTTTAATACTTATTAAGGGCCTTAATTTTCTCTAAATTCCCTTTAAAGTTGTCCAAATGAAGTTGTTAGCAATGCATATTACTAATCAAAAATTAAGTTGTGATATATTTACAGTAGGAAATTTATGTAACATGATCTTTACTTAATATCCTAATGATTTTTGGCATAAAAGAACATACAGTGTATACAGTGTATTTTTGGCTATTGCTACAAATATACCCCAGCGTCTTAAGACTGTTGTTGAGTGTGACTCACTTCAGGGGCTCATCGAAGCGGATGGTGGCGGCGCAGTGGAAGACGATGTTGATACAGGAAGTGAGTGTTTGTACATCCTCTGGACTGATGGCCAGGCCGGGCTGCGTGAGCTCGCTGCTGATGGGGATGATCTTCTGATGAAAGTCAGGATTAACCTCACGCACGCGGTCGAACAGCTGCAACACACACACCGACGCGCATGTCACTGATGCAGAATAACTATATCCACACAAAACATGACAATTATCATTCTTCATGCTCTCTAAAGTATTCATACATGAAGGCAGTATGTTACTGTTACACTAATTTAAATGAAATAAACACAGTATTATTTGGAAACCTAATGAGAATCACCATTGAGAATAAACAAACAAACAAACAACCATTGCAAAAATAGGAATTAGTGTAGTAAATAAAATTAAGCTAATTTAAATTTAAAAAGTGCATTAAATACAATAAAAATCACCACTGAAAATAACAATAAATAAATAAACAAAAACAAATAAACATGACAAAAATAGGAATTTGGGTAGTAAATAAAATTAAGCTAATTTAAATTAAAAAAGTGCATTAAATATAATAAAAATCACCATTGAAAATAACAATAAATAAAATAAAGAAATAAACAAACAAACATTACAAAAATAGGAATTTGGGTAGTAAATAAAATTAAGCTAATTTAAATTTAAAAAGTGCATTAAATCTAATGAAAATCACCATTGAAAATAACTACAATAAAAACAAACAAAAATCAATCAATCAATACATACAGAAGTGGGGATAAAATCTTGTATAGCCAGGCCAGGAACAGATTAACAAAGGAGATCAGAGTGGCTAATAAAAGCTACTCTGAAAAGCTGAAAAAACAGTTTTCAGCCAACGACCCGGCGACAGTCTGGACAGGCCTGAGGAGCATCACCAGTAATTGTAATAACTGTACTTAATTTTTAATTGCCCATGTAAATAACGTTACAATGCATGGTCCTAAAAACAGGCATAAATTTCATGCTTTTCTTGACAAATGCAATTTCTCATCTCATTTCTTTTGATTTTGTGGAAAATGTGATCTGTACGTTTACATGAGGATCCACCCGTTCAGAGACATTATGTAATTTTCAGCAGGCCAAACCGCAAGATGCAAATGACAAATCTCATCATATTATGTCCCAGACTTCAGTGCTTATGTAATGGAGAAAACTGCAGACTGAAAAAATAAGATACTCCTCGACCGTATCCAAACGCACAGGCATTCAGCACGGCGTGTTTGACGCAGATACATAGATGACAAATGCGCTGTGATTTCTGTAATCTGATCTCAAAAGAGGATTTGCAGAGACCGGTGTCCTCTCTGACACACGTGTGCTGACTTATGTTACCCACAATTCCAAGGGTCTGGCAGTGGCACGTTCCTGCAGCCACAGCCAATCAGAATCATTTCTGGACGTAACATCTGACCCCCCGTAACCCCAGCAGCAGGCACCTGCCGAGGGCCGGACAGATGCTGCGGGACGCTGCGGACAGCTGTTGAGCCTCTCGGTCGAGTCACGCTTCTGAATGCATATTTATCCAAAAGCAGATGAGCATTTCCAAAAGGAAACAGTGGTTGAAAGGCATCCAAATAATAAGTTAAAGGTTGAGGTGTAAATGAAACGCCAGAGCTGCTTCATAGTCGCACCGAAAATATTAATCAAAACTATTTAATTTACAAATCAAAAATTAACAAAACAATGCAATAACATGAAACTGTCATTTATTACACTCTCTAAATTATTCATACATTATGGTAGTTATATAAAATACTGTATTACTTGACAACCTTTGAGAATCACTGCTGAGAAAAAAAATGATCAAAATAATACGTTTGAGGTGTAAATGAAATGCCAGAGCTGCTTTATGTTATGTTGACCCAAAAATATTAATCAAATCAATTTCCTTTACAAATTAAAATAAATGAATAAAAACATTCATAAAAAATGATTAAATAAATTTAAATGACAAATTAAAAAACAATAAAAAAAAAAAGAAATTTAATTTACAAATTAAAAACAAATAAAACAAAAAACAATAAAAACTAATTAGTCAAATTTCATTTACAAATTAAAAAGAAAAACAAAAAAACTAAATACACAAATTATCAAATAACTCATTTATAAATTAAAAAGAAATAAAACAAAAAACAATAAAAACGAATTAGTCAAATTTCATTTACAAATTAAAAAGAAAAACAAAAAAACAAAATACACAAATTATCAAATAACTCATTTATAAATTAAAAAGAAATAAAACAAAAAACAATAAAAACTAATTAGTCAAATTTCATTTACAAATTAAAAAGAAAAACAAAAAAAAAACAAAATACACAAATTATCAAATAACTTTCATTTACAAAAAAACAAAAAACAAATAAAACCGAACACAATAATACAATTTAAATTATGAATCGTATAAACTTCATTTACAAATTAAAAACACAAATAAAACAAAAAAATATAAAAACAAATTATCTATCAAATAAACCTCATTTTCAAATAAAAAACAGAAAATAATAAAATACAAATAATAAATCAAATTTCATTTAGAAGTAAAAAACAAAAAGAACTGATAAAAAAGTCAAATAAATTTCATTTACAAAAAACAAAAAAATACAAATGAGTAAACAAAACTAGAAATAATAAACAAACAAAACAAAGAAACAATAATAAAAATAATTTAACTTACAAATTAAAAACAAAACAATATTACAAAAAAAAAATTGTTGAGCACATAAACCCCATTTAGACATCATATGACAACAGAACTAGGCTAACAGTTTGAGGTGTAAAGGAAACCGAGCTGCTTTACAGTCATCAGTGTAAATGAGGAGGACCAATCCACATTCAGTATGCAAATAATCAGAACCGTTTAAACACCACATCTAAACCTTCCTGAAGCACGAGAGTAGGGTTGGGTATCGTTTTTTTTTTTTTCGACAGTAGGGGGCGGGGCCTAACAGTATACGGGGCCTAACTTCGCCTAACAGTATACGTAGCAAGGTTTTTGTTTGTTTGCTTGCTTATTTTGTTTTTATAATAAATAAAAAGAAAACAAGTAGAAAGAATAGAAAAAGAATAGGGAATGCTAGTGTTAGAGGGTAATTTTTAAATAAAAATAAAATAATTCAATAGAACAGAAAAAGAACAGATAATGTTAGTGTTAGAAGGTCATTATTTATAATAAATAAAAAGAAAATAAGTGGAAAGAATAGAGAAAGAATAGAGAATGCTAGTGTTAGATGCTCTTTTTTCTATATAAATAAAACAATTAGAAATACATAGAAATAGATAAACTAATACATAGAAATAGAATAGAGAGTGCAAATGTTAGAGGGTCAAGTTTTTTTGACGTATGAGGTCAGCGCTGCAACAGGTTTAGAAATGTGAATACAAGGGAAGTATTCACATTTCAAAAAAAAAAAAAGAAGAAAAAAGTCATATACACCTCTGCATTCACGTGCTCCTCGGATGCTCTCATTTCCCGAGTTGTGCTTTTAAGTCGGAATGTGAAAACAACATGGACACTCTCGTTACCACAAAGATGTGTTGGATTTGTTTTATTAGAGCTTTCCGACTTGAGTTCACGTGCATTTTCTCAGTCGGGAAATTATTTTTCACGTGCGGTGCCAGTGACGATGATGCTTACGTCCGTTTCGGAGAACCAGAGGACAAATATTTCAATCGATCGCTCAGGCATGGCACCGAAATGAGGCACCGAAATCAGAGTTCGGATTCGGTTCTGGTACATATCGGTTACATAGGTACCGGGGCCATATTGGTACCTGGTTTCGGTACCCAACCCTACACGAGAGCTTGTAAAACACGTCACAATCCAATTCTTCCAGACTTTTTCTTCCCAGGAATTGATGTGAAATTGTCTGGGAGATCAAGGCGTGTTGTAAAGTCTGCTTGTGTGTCAAGACACGGATGATTTTATTTGCTTTTGCAATGTGTTTGTTTAGACAAGATGTTGTCAAAGGTGTGAGATGTACACATTCACTCCCGTTTCAACAGAAACACACTTTCTTGCACAATTACTGAGAAATTTCTAAATGTCAGTTAGAATGGTTGCTATAAGAGTTATTTTTTGTATAGTAAACTATAAATAAAAAAAAAGTAAATGTATAGTTGAATAATTAAAAAATATTATATATATTAAATATATTTTTTAAATATTAAACTTTAACATTACAAAATATTCATAGATTCATTCATAGATTTATTAAAAAATAAAATCAAATATAAAAAATAAAATCAAAACAATAATAAAAACAAATTAATCAAATAAATTTCATTTACAAATTAAAACCACAAATAAAAAAATAAATAAAAATTATTTGTTTGGAAAACTAAAAATGAACAAAGTAAAACTGAAAAAAAATCTAAATGCTAATACTAAAAAAATAATTTAAATGACAATTTTAAAAACTAAATTATTCAAATCAAACAAAAATTAAAATAAAAACTGAAACTATAAAATAAAAGCCAATTCAAAATCTTACAACTATAATAGTATATAAATACTATAATAAAACAATAATACAATTATTAATAATATAAGATTTCTTTTGCAAAATAAAGAACAAAAAAATAATAATAATCATTTAGAGAGTACATAAACCCCATTCAGACACCATAACAAGACGTAACTTATTTGGCTAATATCAAGCACAGAAATAAGCAACTATCTTGTCTTTTACAACCAGAGGACTTTCAAATGCAAATGAAATTGCATGACTTAAACACACTTCAACATGCAAATACTACAGGAATAAAGCTGTAATGATATCATCTGAACGCATGAGTCTAACAGCCATTAACTCCGATTACTAGACAGATCAGACAACATATGGGCCATGAGAGCAGTCTAGCCAACACACACACACACACACACACACACACACATACAGATTTAGAGAGAGTTCAGATGACGCTGGATGGACAGAAAAGCATTTAAAAGGTCAAGACACACAAAACTAGACAGGAGAAATGTGCTCATGTCAGGAGGGCCGCGAGACACAGGATCGCTCGTGAGGCCTGTGGACGTGTTTCAGAAATACAGTAAATGAAGGAAACGAGCGCAGCCGCTTCAGCCAAACTTCCTGCTGTGGTTTGTGTCTCCGGGCAACAAAAACACAACACAC